AAGGTATATAAGATGTTCGATGTTTTTTTTGTATTGGTAACATGTAATGTCATTATATAATTTCCAATCATGTTTGGTATATCAATATTTTGTAACGTATGGTATTAAATATCAATAATTGATACAAAATTTTTGTAAGTTTAGGCTAAGTTTAACTATCTTGACACACCATTGACAATTTTGTACTAGATTTTTTCTCTATGCAACTAATATTAAAAAATGCAATTTTTAAAAAAATGTTATGAACTTCATTTATTGATAGATAAAAAAAATAGTTTTGAAAAAACTAAAATTTTTTTTTATGTCACATATGATATTGATTTTTATATAGAGTATTTTATGCAAATATTCATAAAGATATGAATAAAAAATAAATTTATATAAAAAGACTATCATTTTGTTAAAAAATTGTAGAAGCTATATAAATTTAGATAATATAAAAATCAAATTCTGTAAAACAAATATGTGATCAATAATTTCAAAAAAATTTACATTTCACAAATTTTTTATAGGTGTTTATCTATAACGAAAAGATTCCAAAAGAATATGCTAAATTCTAGAGCAAGTATTTAAATGAAAATATTGATATATATCATCATATGGTTCACTTTCATATTAAACATTTAAAATGATGTTTGAATTTGTATAAATAGAAATTGTGAACATAAATCTTAAACATCGTTTAAGTATATCAATGTTAATATATATATTAAAATAATTTTAAAAATCATCTATATAGTTGTTCTGCGCAATACGTAGATTTTCACTAGTTTTCTCTATTTTAAGGTTAAAAATAGAGAAATATATTAGAGATGGTATCTCAAGAGCTTTAGAAAGTATAAAAGGATAAAAGAAGTATTAAACGTCTCAGCGTATTGATTTCAAATAGACTAGACTAGACCCAGACTGATGTGGCTTACCAAAACTGGTGGTATAATGGTATTTCGCTGTCAACATTTGTTTTCTCAACATATATACAGAATGATGGGAGAGCTGAGGATCAACCACAAAGATGCTTCCTATAGCAAAAATCAAGAAATAAATGCAAAACACTAAGCCAATAAAGATTCATCTCATGTAATCTCTCAAACCCAAACTCTGTCAAGCATGCATCAATCTCCATTTACAACCCCAAAAAAAAAAAGGTAAAAGAAAGATCTCATGTTTGTTGGTGAATAATTCTGCAGAGTATGATGATTTGGTTTTATGAGCCATCCATGGTAATATCGCCACCAGTTGTTGGTTTCGTTGGAGCTGCTCCAAAAGTGAACTCTTGAGGAGGGATACTTGAAGCAGGAGATGAAAATATAGAAGAAGCAGGAGCATTGTTGAACAAAGGGGGTTGCGGTTGATTATCAACCTTAGGGAAGCCAAACCCAAATGTTGGAGCATCGTTGATATTCATTGCCGACATCATCCCATCTCTTGATCCGAATATCGTCTGCTCAAACTCCTCCAGTTGTTGGTAGAACTCTGTCGCAATACAAGGAGGAGAGGTAAATGCAATGAGGACAAATTTCAAGAATGATAAGTTAATAATACTAAGTCAAGGACTACTTGCCTGGATTTATGTCAGTTGCGGGTCTCCGTTGTTTAACCCACTGATAACTCTCAGCGAGTCTCCACCCTTTACGTTTCATCAAATATGCTATAACAACCGCTGGTGATCTGTCAAAATAAAGTGAGGGATAAGACTAAAATGAACGTCTTTAAGAATAAAGCAGAATGACTCAAAATATCCTGATCAGTTCATGTCAACTGAGGCCTATTTCATGGCAAAATTGTACGAGTATGAATTATAGTTGGAGAAGATAAATAGTATGAGAATGATAAATGTACTCACCTACTTTTCCCCGACATGCAGTGCACAAGAACACGTGCCTTGTCCTTCTCACATTGGTCTAAACCGTAGATCAAGCACAATCCAAGAGACGAATTAAACCAAATCACAAAAACAAAAAAGAGAATCAACTCTAGAGGATTATGAGATAGAATCAAACCTAAGAACTTGATAGCATCATCAAACTGTAAGACTTTTTCATCAGCAAGACAGTGATAAGTGAATGAATTCCTGTAGAGATTCTGGCACAAAGGAACCGTCTGAACAGAGGAAAAGAACAAACAAACAAACAAAAAGCAGAGTCAAGTTACCATAAAGGGAAAGTAAAGTGAAAAACTTTAAACAGAAGGGAAACTAATGTGCTTCCAATAGTTATTCTCTTGGACAATCAGAAATACTTTTTAAAAACCATCAACTATGATTAAGCCAAGATTATTAAAGATTCATCAACAACAAGGAACAGATTCATCATAGACAAGTAATTCCAATAAAACTTTAAATTGAAGAGAAAAGCAAGAAGAAAACTGACATTGAGAACACGAGAGATCCCCTGAGTCTTGAGAAGCTCAGAGCGAGAGGCGTTGTCGTAGCTCCCGAGGTAAAGAAACTCCGGCAAGATCTCCGACGGAAAAGCGCTGAGATGGACTTGCGCAGCCGCCATATCGGAGGTAACAGGCATACGGTGGCCACAGATTCCACATACTTCTCCTTCTTCGTACTTGTGGTAGTGCCCACAAACCGAACAAGGGTTTTCTCTCTCCCTCTTCCTCATAATCAAATTCTGATTCGGATTTAAACCTAGATCCGATTACTGATCAAAACCCAGATCACGATTAGAGGAACGGATTGTGAAATTAGTGATCTTTAGACGGAGGGTTTTAGGGTTATTGGAAATTTTGAACG